ATCCACATGCAAATGGCCATATATGGGTTTGTTTATTGGTTGGGTGTAAAAGGTGCGTGTGAGGTAGGTAATTTTGATGATTTTTAGGCCACTTTGTTCAAAAAGTACCTCACATCAAAATGTTTTATTTTGTTTTTTTATGAATTAATAGTTCAAACTTCAAAGGTCTTATTCGTTCAAAAAAAAAAAAAACATATATATATACATATATAGTTCAAGGGTCTTAGCTTCTATGCTATTCTATGTATAGTGTAATTTTAAAAAATGCGCAAGTTGTAGATGCAATTAAGAATTACCAAATTTTATATAAAACAATACTTTCGGTATAATATCAACTTTTAAATTGATATTGTAATTTATTAGTAGTACAAGTTAATATCTATATCTGTCAACATCTAGCAGCTATAAATTAAGTTTCAGTAGTTAAGCTGAATAACCATTTATATCTACTTATAAAAAGTCAAAATTTACCCTATCGAAAATGTACTTTCGAACTCATATATTATACTTCATACTATATATTAAATTTATAATTTTTTTTATGAATTGAGTAAAATATTTTTAATAAATTTATAAAATAAATTATATTTTTAATAGGCAATTTCACTATTAGAAAACAACAGATAACTGATAAAAATATAATCGACAATCAAAAAGCTATCAATTATACTTGATTAATCGATAAAAACTCTATTGATTATGGTTAAATGTCGATTATATACATATAATCAACAATCAATAGTAACAGTCGATTCTACAAGTTATAATCGACAATCATTTTCGTCAATTATAGAAGTATAATCGATAGCCAAAGTGACTATTGATTATACAAGTATAATCGACAAAAGTGACTATCGACTATACTTCTATAATTGATAGAAATAATTGTCGATTATAGCTTGTAGAATTAACAGCCTTTTTCTGTCAACTATACAAGCATATATGTTAATATTTAACATTCCACTATTAGTATTTTTAAATATATTATATGTCTCATAAATTATAAATTTGATAATAAAAATTTAACACTATCAAATGAAAAATTAGTTTTAATTAATATTTTATATATTTTATGTATATATAATAACTAAATTAACTATAAATATTTAGTATTAAAATTGATAATTTAATCAAAATATATGTGCATAATATTAGTTAAAAATAATTTTACATTTGATAATTTTAAATTTTTATTTCTAAATTATATATAAGAAATTTTAACATAATCAACAACCACTTCGGTTAGTAATTATGTAAGTATGATCGATATAGCTAGTATTGACTGTCGATTATACTTATATCCCACCTTGCCCTATAAGAAAAAATTGAATTTCACAGTATAACAAATTCAAAATATAACTAACAAAGAATAATCGACAAAAATGTTATCAGTTATACTTTTTTTATATACAAGCCAAAAACAGAACCTTCAAGCATTCTTTCATCTTCTCTTCTCCAAAATTTCCCATCCTCCTTCCCTTCTCTACAAATGTGCGCATCTCTTCTTTTCTTCTACCTTGCTTCATCTTCTCTCTCTTCTTCTACATTTCTAAATCTTTCATTCTCTTTTTTTCCTTTTTAACTTTCTTCATCCTCCATTCTCCCAAAACTCTACTATTTTAATTCTTTGATCTTTTCCCTTTCTAGCTACCTCTCTTCTTCTTCTTTTATTGTTTTTCCATTACTTCACATTTTCCCTTCAATTCCTTCTACCTTCCTAAGTTTTAGGGTTTTTCTTTTTTCTCATTTATTTTCGTTTCTATATTATTCAATTATTTTTATTTGATCTAATAATATTTTTTTTTCCTTGGCGGTTATTAAAATTGAAATCATATTATGAGGTAATTTCTAATACTGCTTTTGATTTATGCTTTCAATTTTCTTTTTTTTTTTATTATTTTCATAATATTTGCAAAATATTATATTTTTCAATTAATTTTTGTAGATTTATCTGTATATATACATATATATTATTGCAACAAATTGTTGTTCTACATATATTTTGATTAATATTTATAATTTAATTAATAAATGTACAATTATTTACATATATAATCGACAAACATGCTGTCGATGACAAAAAATATTTTTGTCAATTATACTTTTTTTTACGCACGTTTATTTGATTATTTTTTCTGTTGATTATGTTTATTGATTATACCTATAATCAACAAAAATTTTTGTCGATTAAAAACTACTTTCTTGTAGTGTTTCTCATGTAAAACATTTTTTTAATTTACAATTTAGAGAATGAAATTTGTTTTATGTCGTGAAGTTGCAGAATATCGAGGAGATAGGATTGGCAGTAAAAATTATTGGCACATTTTTCATTTTTCATTTTTCTTTTTGTTTTTGACCATTAGAGTGTTTTTAAATTAAGTTTTTATCTCATAAAAATTAATCTTTTATTGTGCAATTTTAAGAGTATGCTCATATAAACTTTTGTACATTTAAAAAAAAATTAATTTTTTTAAGCAACGACATCAAAAATTAAACTATAAATATAACTTATAAAACAACAATTACTTCTAATAAATCTAACTTTAAAGATAAAATTATCAGTCCATGCTAAAATTATCATGATGTCCCCCTGGCTCATCAACATTTAATTAATGATATATATATTTTTATCATTTTCATTTTATATGAGAAATTACTAAAATAGGCTTCCACTGGTTCTATCTATTTTCTTTTTAGTAAATACTGTAACTGTGTCTATGTAATTCCATGTGACTTATATATTGCAAATTTTGTAACAAAGATAGAGCCGACCAAATTAAAATTACCGACATCTTTTTTTTATATTTTTTTAAAGTAAAAAATACTATTATATTTTTTAAAAGTAAGAAATATTGAGTCGATTGCGATAGTTTCCATGTGATACACGTTTCCTTTTAAGCAATATATATATATATATATATAGGCACTGTAAGGTGTTTGTTATGGAAAAATGTGTGATTTTTAGGTCATCCTTATCGTGTTTTCTCCAGCTCTATTAAATTTAGAACTAGCCTAGTTTGATTTCTTAATTTTTAACATTAATGTTAATTAAAATTTCAATATAGAATATAAATGATAATTAAAATTTTTGATAAAGTAAAATAATTTAACAAAAATTATATAAAATAAAAAAAATTAATTGTCATTCATATATTTTGTTAAATTTTGATCTAAAGTTAATGTTTAAAAAGTTAAATTAAAATATTGAAATTAAATGAAGGGAG